CATAAAGCAAATCACTGATCCTTGGTACTCTTTTCTCTTCTAATTCTGTATGTTTTCTTCCTGAGTAACTTAGTCTGCTGTTCCTGCTTCAATCATACTTGTGAAAATAACTGTAAAATCTGAATCACCACTCTCAGCCTTGCTTCTAGACCTAAATATTTTCTTGACATCTCTACCTGAGTATTCCACAGACATTTCAAACCCAACATGTTCAAAACTAAAAAAAAAAAAAAAATCTTTCCTCACATTAAAATAAAACAAGATCTTTTAACCATATATTTTCTCCCCCCTTCCTCTATCCATGTATTTTCTAAGCTAAGAAACAAAGTCACTTTTCTGTTTCTTCAGAGCCAATTGATTTTTAAGCCCTGCCAATTCCACATCTTCATCTCCCCTATTCTCTCTACCATTACTAGTTTCCTACTTCAGTCCCTTATCTGTTCTTATCTGAACTATTTCATTGGCAATAGTCTTATCTCCCTACCTTTTGTCTCTTTTTTTCCAACCCAGCATCCACACTATATCATCACCATGTTATCTTTTCTAATCACTTAATATATTCTTCTCTGGCTCTCCATTGTCTTTAGAATCAAGTCCAAAGTCCCTGGCATGATGCACAGGCTTTTCAATACCTGGTACCCCCTTCTTTTTATGAGTCATAATGTTTTATTTACCTCACCAGACATTATTTTATAATATATTCCCTACTTAAAAGTATTAAAAGTGCCAGGTGCAGTGTCGCAGGCCTGTAATCCAAGTGTTCTGGAGGCTGAGGCAGGAGGATCATGAATTCAAAGCCAGCCTTAGCAAAAGCGAGGTGCTAAGCAACTCAATGAGACCCTGTCTCTAAATAAACTACAAAATAGGGCTGGAGATGTGGCTCAGTTGTCAAGTGCCTCTAAGTTCAATCCCTGGTACCCTCCCCCCCAAAAAAGTATTAAAAGTGCCAATAACCCTATATTCTATAATAAAAGATTTTGCCCACCTGGACTAATCACTCACTTCATTATTCCAAATGAGGGGAACTGAACCCCACACCTTAACTATCAATTGCAGTGATCCTAAAGTGATCAGCAACAAAGCTCAGCAATTTTCTCTTTCCTGCTTATTTGCAAGCATTGTCCCCTTTAGTCCAAGCACCTGACTTTATAGAAAACCATGTGACTCTATACACTCTGACCTTTAGTGATAACAAACCACAACACTTTCCTCAAACACACCATGTACTTTCACATTTATCCCTGGTTTTCATTCATATCTTCTGTTTCTTTCCCCAACTCAGCACACTCCTATTCATCCTTCAAAGCCAAATTCAAACACAGAATCTCTTCTAGAATCTTCTAGAATCTTCCTCCCTACCACAGGTAGAATAATTTTCCCTCATCAGTGTTTCCAATTAAACTCCATCTGTACCTCTGGTATCACACTGAAATTCTAATAAACTGGACTTGTGCACATCTGGTTATAAGCTTCTATCAGACAGGGAAGCATTTTCCTTCTTGATTCTAACATTTAACACATGGTTTGAGAACATATATATTAAACTTCTTAAACTTCTTACTAAAAAATAAACACTTGCTTATATTGCTAAAATAATGCCATAATTATAGCTACTGAGTGAAAATTTAGAAAAAAAGAAAGAATCCAATATCACTCACCAGCCACCCCCCCCAAAAAAAGTTTTTACATACAAAGTATAATTATATTATAGCTTGGACCTGCCTTTATCTATATCTTGCAATACCAGTTTGTTCCCTTCTCTCTCTCTCTCCTTTTTTTAAGAGTGTGTGTGTGTGTGTGTGTGTGTGTGTGTGTGTGTGTGTGTGTTTATTGCTGGGGATTGAATCAGGCCTCAATTCATGCTAAGCAAGCACTCAACCACTGAGGTATGTCTCCAGCCCCCTCCTCCCTTTTGAAGAAGTTCCTCCTAGAACTCTCTTTTAACTACCCATTGGATTTCATTTGTATCTCATTCATAGATTTGAAACTCAGTATAGAGCAGAGGTTTAAAATCAGGGTGTTTGGAGCCTGCCTGTCTGATGTGATCCCAGCTCTGCTACTTAGGCTATCTGATCCCAGGCAAGTTACTCAACCTCCTCTATATGACTCCCAAGGAGGAGATCATAATAATGGCACCCCTCATGGTGCTCTAATACATGTAAATAAGCTAATACATGCAAAGCATATAAAACACTGCCTGGCACAGTGTAGGTCCCAATAACTGTGAGTTGATGTTCTTACAATCAGCCTTTTCAGTACTTATTTTAGCCTACATGGCAGAGTGTAATCTCCTAGATGGAAAGAATTATATCATATGTGAATACAACATTAAGTGCTAAAACTGCACCTTGGGATAGGTGCTCAATAATGAATGTGAATATAAGGCTTCAGATCTGTAATATCAACAAATTATAAATTCACAGTAAAACTTATTATAGAGGGCACGGTTAAAATTGGTGTATTAAAGTAGTTTCAAAACACCCAGCCAACACATTAGTGCATGCCTGTTATACTAATGGCTGGAAAGGCTGAGGCAAGAGGATCCCAAGGTGAAAGCCAGCCTCAGCAACTCAGCAAGGGCCTAAGCAACTTAGTAAGATTCAGTTTCAAAATTAAAAATAAAAAGGGCTATGGATGTGACTCACTGATTAAGCACCCCTGGGTTCAATCCCCAGTATATTAAAAAAAAAAAAAAAGATCCGCTGAATTTTTGAAATATGTTCAATAAAACCTCTACTCCATTTAATTTTAGACAGTGGTCTAAAATTCTTTTTATAAGACTCACTATAGATCATTTGAAAGTAATATAACTTGCAGTTTTATAAAACTGTCTATTTTTTGAAAACTGCCTATTATTAACCAGAAAAACAATGATATTCCTTTATTATTTCTGCATTTAAAAAATCTATTGCCTTCAGCTCACAGTAGCCCACATCTGTAATCCCAGCTACTTTGGAGGAGTGTATAGTTTAGTAGCAGAGCGTTTGCCTAGCATCTGCAAGGGCTGGAGTTCAATCCCCAGTGTGGTGCAAAAATAAATAAATAAAAATCTATTACCACATTAAAAACACACACACACACACACACACACACACACACACAATGAAAGACCAAGAGATACATTTCCTGATTTCTGCCTGGGAAATTACTTACAAACACTCTTGTAAGTATTCCCAGAAGACTGCAGGTTAATAACTACTATTCCCTTTCGTATTTCCCATCTCACCCCTAAAATTCGGGACACATAGAACCATAGTAAAGAACACAAACGTCTGTAATACAGGCGCAGTGGCACACACCTATAATCTCAGCAGCTAGGGAGGCTGAGGGAGGCTGAGGCAGGAAGATGGGGAGTTCAAAGC